CCAGGCTTTGGTATAAAGCTTCCCCCCCCCCAAATCTTAACAACCTAGATTTTGGGAATAAAATCTCCGCTGCCACCACCCAAATATTAATAAAGCAGCCGTGGGACCACCAGCCCTTGACGTTAAGGGGAACCGAAGGGCGAACAGAAGGTGGTTTGGACCCAGGTGAAACCAGTGAGCAAGGGAGCTCAGGCTGGAAGCCCTCCCAGAGGTCGTACGGGCCGGAACCAACAGGACCCCGGCAAGCCGGCGACGCCCATACCAAGGGTGTGTATGGCCAGGTGATGGCCGCGGACCTCCGGGCGAGACCACAGGATAGGACAAAGATTACCCTACAGGTAAAGCTGGAGGGGAAGCCAGTGACCGCCCTGGTGGACTCTGGGTGCAGCCAGACAATGGTACGGACAGAGCTGGTCCCAGAGTGGGAGGCAGCCAGGGGAAACATCGCCATGCAATGCATACATGGAGATGTCAGGACCTACCCCACGGGGTGGGTTCGTCTGTCAGATGGGGTAGACGAAGCAATCTGCCGGGTAGTGTTAGTCCTGAAGCTGGTATACCCGGTACTACTGGGCCAGGACTGGCCGGGGTTCAGACGCATCCTGCATGACTGGGATGCGCAGGGGCAACCGCCACCAGCTGGGATGGAGAACCTGAAAAGGGGCACATCCCGAGGGCCAGGGGGGGAGCCCGGACCAGAGAAAACCCTCACTTCAGAGGAGGTAGGTGGGGAAGAGGACTTCCAAAGAGACCAGCGAGAAGACCCCTCCTCAACCCATGCCTGGGAACAAGCGGCCGGAGAGATCGGAGACCCCGATGTGGGGACAGCTGCCCGACCAACCCCGCGATTTGAGGTAAGAGATGACGGATTATATCGGGTTGTGTGGACGGCTGAAGGGCAGACGGAGGTTACCCAGTTGTTGGTCCCGGCAAGATACCGAAGGCGGGTATTAGACCTTGCGCATGCTAATCCCTGGGCAGGATATTTGGGGTGCAAAAAAACCCTGCAGTGCATAACACAAAGATTCTTTTGGCCGGGGATTTATAAGGAGGTCCGAGACTTTTGTGAGTCCTGCCCTGAGTGCCAGAGGACGGGTCAGGGAGGGGTGCCAAAAGCCCCTTTAGTTCCCCTTCCCATGATAGAGGTACCGTTCGACCGGGTGGCTTTAGACCTAGTAGGACCCCTGGAGAGGTCCCGAAGAGGACATCAATATATACTTGTTATAATTGACTCTGCCACCCGATACTCCGAGGCCGTCCCCCTCAAGAATACGACAGCATCAACGCTGGCACAGGAATTGGTGCAAGTATTCTCCTGGGTGGGAATCCCGAGGGAGATATTAACGGACCAAGGGACTAATGTGACCTCTAAACTGATGGCAGAACTTTGCCGCCTATTAAACATTAAGTCATTGCGTACCTCAGTTTACCATCCCCAGACAGATGGACTTGTTGAACGCTTCAATAAGACACTGAAAGGCATGCTGCGGCGTTTCATTGAGCTAGACCCAAAGGACTGGGACCGGTTACTACCGGCCTTATTCGCAGTGCGGGAGGTGCCCCAGGCCTCAACGGGATTTGCCCCATTTGAATTGCTCTATGGCCGACAACCCAGGGGGATATTGGACTTAGTGCGGGAGACATGGGAGGAACAGGATTCCAGGGTGAAGGGTACGGTACCGTATATTTTGGACTTACAAAAGCGACTCTGGACCATAGGCGAACTGGCTAAGGAGAACCTTCTCCAGGCCCAAAATAGGCAGGCCCAATATTATAATCGAGGGGCCAAATCCAGAACATTTCAACCAGGTGACAGGGTACTCCTGCTGTTACCAGCACCAGACTCGAAATTATTGGCCAAATGGCAAGGGCCCTTCGAGGTCATACGGCAGGTAGGACCAGTGGATTATGAAATCAAATTGGCAGGAAAACAGAAAGACAAACAAATTTATCATGTCAATTTACTAAAGAAGTGGAATGCCCGAGAGGGTATGCTTATCACCTTACAGGCACCAGAACCGGAACTGGGACCCTGGGGAGGAGACTTGAAGGCAGAAGGGACAACGCACATTGGGGCAGAGTTGACGGAGGAACAGCAAAAAGAGCTGAACTCCCTCCTTCGAGATTTCGAACAGGTCCTGACCACACAACCGGGTAAGACCTCCCTTATGAGTCACCATATCTCGACAACCCCAGGTAAGAAGATCCGGGACCACATACGACCCCTGCCCCGGAAAATGTGGGGACCAGTTCAGGAGGATCTGCAGCGGATGCTGCAAATGGGGGTGATCAGAGAATCTAAAAGCGAGTGGCGTAGCACTATTGTTTTGGTGCCTAAACCTGACGGCACGATACGATTTTGTATAGATTTTCGGAAGATCGACGCAATCTCGCGATTTGATGCATATCCTATGCCATGAGTAAACGAACTGCTGGAGTGGTTGGGCAAGGCCCACTACATATCTACACTCGACCTCACCAAAGGCTATTGGCAGATTCCCCTGACACCAGCCTCGGAGAGCAAGACCGCGTTTGCCACACCATTTAGCCTGTTCCAATTCACCACCATGCCTTTTGGATTGAATGGGGCGGCAGCGACGTTCCAGAGGCTAATGGACAAGGCACTACAGGAACATCGTGAATATGCGGCTGCATATATCGATGACATTGTCATTTTTAGTGAAACCTGGATGGAACATCTGCAGCATTTGAAGGCGGTCTTCGGGGCGCTGGCCACTGCCAAGCTCATGGCTAACCCAAGTAAGTGCCATTTTGGACAAAGAGAGGTGTCCTATTTAGGATACTGGGTGGGATGGGGAAGGATAAAACCCCAGGTGGACAAGGTGAAAGCCCTGTGAAATTATAAAGCTCCCACCACAAAAAGGCAAGTCTGCCAGTTTCTGGATCTAGCCGGTTACGACCGGCGATTCATACCCAATTTCGCCACGATTGCAGCGCCCTTGACAGATCTGACCCAAAATACAAGACCCCAAAGGGTCCAGTGGACCCCGCAGTGCGAAAATGCGTTCAGAACATTAAAACACCAACTGACGCAGACACCGGTTCTCCATCAACCCGATTTTACAAAACCGTTTATAGTACAGACAGTTGCATCAGATAGAGGTCTAGGAGCTGTCCTCTTGCAAGAGCAGGAAGGGGAGGTACACCCAATCCTGTATTTAAACAAGAAATTACTACCGCGGGAGCAACAGTATGCCACGATCGAGAAGGAGGCCCTGGCAGCTAAGTGGGCAATAGAAGCACTACGCTATTACCTGCTAGGGGGGACATTCACACTGATAACGGACCATGCGCCATTACGATGGCTTCAGACAATGAAGGAGACCAACCCTAGGATTATGAGAGGGTATTTGGTCTTACAGCCTTATAGATTTGAGGTCTGCCACAGGCCGGGGAGAGCCCATAACAATGCGGATTTTTTTTCTAGGTCCATAGCTAACAACGAAATGGCAGAAGGGGATGGAGTCCTGGAAAGGGGGTTGAGTGATGGGGCATGGTTGCACCACACTGACATCGGTGGGGTGATCCTCTGGGGAGCACGCCTGCCAACCCGCCGACGTTGTGAGGCATGCTCAGAGGCAGCCAGGGCAGACCTGGCGGTAGCTAAGGCCAAGGGAAGAAATCAGAGCCCGAGGGAAGGTATAGGAGAGGCCTGGCTGGGGGCCGGCCGAAGAAGGGAAGCTCTATCCGAAGGGGAAGGAGTGTGACAGGGTGCCTGCCCTACACTGGCCCTTTAAGACCAGGACTCAGGCCCAAAACCGGGGCTGGAAACAGAGGACAGCTGAAGCTGTTTGGGCTAGGGAGAGCCCAGCTGGCAACTATCTAGGGCAGCACAATTGGCTTGTAGTAGCCAGCTGTTAGGCTAATGAGAGCCCAGCTGCCAGATATTCAGAGAAGCCCGGGTGGCTTAGGGAGCCCAGCTGCCAGCTATAAAAGGAGGATCAGTTTGCTTGGGGGAGCTAGTGGAGGGCTGACTGCAGAGGAAGCAGGAGCTCCTTGGAGGGAGACAAGCTGGGGAGAGCCAGCAAAGGCTGGAAGTAGGCCAGCCAAGACTCCCCTTGACTGGGGGCTGGAGACAAAGACTGGTTTGTGGGCTGATCAGGAGGCCGACTAGGTAAGCAGAGCCATTGCGACAAATGCCAATGATGAGCAACCCATACAGACTGTAACTTGCCCTGAGAGGGGCTATATGAGGACAGTCAGGGAGCACTGAGGCACAGTGGGGGCTTGCACCCCTGACAGAGGGGGACAGAACAAACACACACCTTCAGTCTGGGTAGGTAAAGGTAACTTCCTTTCACCAAGAACCCATGCCTGCCCTCCATGCTCTCACCAGGGACAGAATAGGCCACCACACAACCAGGTGTGCTGCTTTCACCACCACACACAAACACAACAGGTCTGTCTACAGTACTCTTTCTTACACAAAAAACCCCTCTTAAGCTGGAGCTGCTCTTTGTGAAAATAATCAGCAGAATGGAACATAATCTTTCTAATAACTACCACACAATCACATCATAAACCTCAAGGAACCCGGCCCTGCAACCAAAAAAGATGCCAACATATCTACATTACGAATTCATCACTGGAGCAAACAACATAAGCCACAAAATCAAAGGGTCATTTGACTGCTTATCTAGTAATTTGATCTATGCCATCAAATGCCAACAGTGCCCTTCTGCTATATATACTGGTCAAACTGGACGTTCCCAGCAAGACAGAATCAATGGACACAAATCGGATATATGTAAAGGGAATACCCAGAAACCAGTGGCAGAACATTTCTGCTTACCTAACCATAACAGATCTTCAGGAGGCAGTCTTGTCACAGGCCAGCTCCTCTAATCAAATCCACAGGGAAAGCTTGGAATTACAATACATATACAAATTCAATTCACATGCTAATAGGCTCAATCTAGATACTGGATGGTGGATTCTTTATCACTGAAGGTGCTAACTTTCTGAATCGTATCCTTCCTGCCGAAGGGTATGTCTACTACGGATGTTAGTTCGAATTAACTTTGATAGGCGCTACACTAGCGCTCCGCTAGTTCTAACTAGTGGAACGCTTAGTTCGAACTAGGTAAACCTCATTCCACGAGGACTAAGCCTAGTTCGAACTTACTAGTTCGAATTAAGGGGTGTGTAGCCCCTTAATTTGAACTAGTGGGAGGCTAGCCCTCCCCAGCTTTCCCTGGTGGCCACTCTGGCCAACACCAGGGAAACTCTATTGCCCCCCTCCCGGCCCCGGAGCCCTTAAAGGGGCACAGGCTGGCTACGGTGCCCATGCCAGGTGCAAGCCT